CATAAAGGAGACAATTATTAATTAATAAACTACGTCGTTTAGCAAATTAAAACTACTGAGAACATACATTAACATTCCCTTTCTTTTAATAAATACTGTTACGTAATCAAAAGCAAATATATCAGTAACAAGACTTTTTAAATTTAGAAAAAATAAACTTTCAAAATTGGAATCACTTAATTCATATTATAATCCAATCTAGTTAGAGTCCTGTGAAACATATCAATAACTGAAGTAGAAACATAATTATTTTTCAACTGATAATAATTTCACATTTTATAGCATAAATAACCGCAACTGGTGTTGAGTTAAACTTCTTCCAAAAAAAGGATCACTTTTTAAGTGATTGCTTTTTTTCAATAATTTTTTTTTATTATTGCGTAATTTCCGATTGTTGTAAATACTTCTTGTTACACAATAAAAAGCAAAAAATTCTGTAACAATGTCAAATTTATCGTAATGCAGCTTGTGAATGAGGGGTGCTCCAGTTTGGAAAAGTGTTATATATACTTGTAGTAATAGGAAAATTCACATTGGTGATTAATTTAGCCCATCCTCACACATCTTAAGAAATCCTATTTTTTCTTTCTTTACCTGCCTGTGTCACATTCTTCTTCGCAAGCACAGAGTGTAAGTTTTGAATATATTCTCTTCCAGTTTTGCTGACGTAACTAATAATTAATTGTTGATAGAAAAACAGTCACCTTTATAGCAACTGATTAAAAGAATCGCGATTATTGATTTTAAACTCGCTTGAATACAAATACCGATCTTGGATTTTAAAATCGCATGAATATGAATCACGATAATGGATTTTTATATCACGTGAATATGAAACTATTTTAAAAATGAGAAAATACAAGCTGCGATACTTAATTTTTAAATCGCGTAACTACAAATCACGGTTTATAATTTTTAGATCACGTAAATACGAATCACGATGCGTAATTTTAAGATCGCGTACAAACGAATCACGTATATTTCTAGAATGCGGGAATGAGAATCCCAATGCCTAACTTTAAAATAACACATATATAAGAAAATCGATGCTTGATATTATAACCGCATGAACGAATCAAGACATTGAATATTAAACTAGCGTGAAAACTAATCGCTCGTGAAAACGAATATCGGTTTTTAAAATCGCGTAAATACAAATCGTGATATTGGATTTTTAAATCTCGTAAATACGAATCGCAATGTACGATATTCTAATCGTGTGAATAAGAATCGCAACGTGAAACTCTTAAATCGTGTAGATACAAAAAGTTATGTTTGATATTAAAATAGCGTGAATAAGAATCGAAATATTAGCAGATTCCGGGCTTGGGACTTCTAAAAGGCTTATTTGAAGCAGCGAAGTTAAGAATCTTCAGTGCGTAATAGAAGAGAAAATAGCTAAAATAAGAAAGAACGTGGAAGGATTTGGCAGCTATGTAGTTTGAATTTTCTATTTTTTTTAATTCGGAAATAAATATAATTGTTTATTTCAACGGCTGAATTTTTTGAAAAAAACGGAATATTTATTATAAAAAAAAGTGGAACTTATAGATAATAGGAGTTTTACATAAAAACTGAAATTCGAGCGACAAAAATCTCATCTCTGTAAAGTAATTGCTGAAAAAACCACGTTGCACATCGCGATTGCTGACAAATGATAACTTAAATAATGAAATCGTCGCAAATGAGGAAGATTCAGAATTCACCTGTCTTGATAGTATTAAATGTATTTTAAAAATTAGGTGGAATTCCACAGCAGGAAAAATAATCGAAAAACCACTCGAATTTCTGATAAAACAATGAACTCCGTTTAATTTGCTATAAAATTTAAGTTTTGAAATTCATAAATTCACTATAAACCCTAAAAAAAACTTAAAATACATCCTACATAATTTGTGTTTTATGTTTACTTTAAAGCTTTTGGAAATGTTTATGTAAATTAAAACATCACGCCTACGAGACCAACAATTTCATAAAATCAAATTCGACAATACTAAAACTTTTACTGTCTAACGTTTGATACAAATGGAAACCATTACACTTTTTTCACGGACCAAGTTGTGCCCATTTTATTCCTTTTACAGTTATTGATGAAGCTATAAATATTGCTTGCGTATAAAAAATACTTTGGAGAGTTAATATTTCGTAGAAAGTATAAATATTTTGTAAATAAAAATGCAAGCTCATACTTCAGTACCAAAATGTAGTCAATAGTGAGAAATTCTGTTATTTTCTTTAGTTGAATATTTTAAAAAGCTGACAGGGTTTCTTTAAGCTAATTCTAAAAACAATGCGAAAATATGCAAAAAAACATTTCTTGCATTTATGCTTCCTATAGAAACGATCATTCAGGAAATACCAATAAGTTCTTCCTTCATTCCAATATGTGGTGCCTGCATGCATAATTTTTCTACGTGCGTAAGCAAGTAGAAATCACTATGAAAGTATTATGGAACTAAAATCTTTCAAAAATAAGTATATTAATCTTTTTTTTTAACTAATGAATTTCCAGCTTTTTGTCTCACTCACTTTTTAAAAATAGATTTACTTTGAATGAAATTTACTATATCCAAACCTTCAATATTATGTTTTGAGATGTATTTATCAAGGGTAACATTGTTATTCAGATTCACTTGCCAGAAAGAATCCAGTCAATATTGAATGAGAAAATGTTCTTTTTTCTTCAAGTAGGCGAGAAAGGAATCTTTTGAAAACAATTCTTAATAAAAAATAAAAATAAAAAAGACCCGTTTCAAAATATTCTGTAGAAAAAAGGACTATAATTTTAGTTTCTCAAAATGAGTCTTTCTGCAAGAACTCTTTTCCGCTACTCAAAAAGCTGAAATTTTTTTTCTTCTTACTTCATAGTAAGTTTTTCTATCCATTACTAAATTACTTCAAGAAAAATGTATGGTAATTGTGTGTTTCCTAATTTATGGAAATTCTCTCCAATTTAGCCGTATTGTAACAATCGAAAATCCTTTGCCCATAAAAACTGCCAAAAATAATCGCTGACTTTTTTCCATTTTATAGAAAGTTTATAGTTTCTTAGCATTCACTAAGCTGCATACCTCAATCCAGTATCTTTCTCAGATACTTTCAACTAGTCAAAAAATTTTATCCATATTTCTCTAGCTAATTTTTCATGCATTGAATACATTTTTAACCTGCTTTAAAGGGTAAGAGCTGTTTATAAAGTAGATTACAAGCTCATATGTCGAAGCAATATGATTTCAGGAGGTATAAGAGTAATAGTGAGCTGGAGGATGATCTAACGGAACAAAACAAAAAAGTCAAGACTCGTACTCAACCGTGTCAGACTAGTACGTGAATAAAATAAAGATAAGCAATACAGGCTACAGTGTAGCATTCCCAAGAAATCACTTATCTCTATGGCAGGCATTTTAACCGCTATGGTAGTTTTCTAGGTAGAACTTCAATTTATGTGCCTAATATTTAAACTTGATAAAAACCTTTCTTTCACGCTTTTCAGGAACTCAAAAAGTTGGGAAAAGTCATGAAAAAGAAATAAGCTAGTATAAAATATTTAAGGTAGGACTTATGGCCTCAAGTTGATTTGAGATTAAAACTATTGCTTTGGACGTACTAGCATTAAACAATAGTTTATTTTAGGATATCATTAACATTAAGTCTAATATAAAATAAACTAGTTGAACTATTTTCTGTTATCTAAACCATAAATTAAAACTAAATATTACTTTTATATTAACTTATCTCCAAAGACATATTTGTAAAGAGAAAAATTAAACCTTTAAATTTGAAAACTAAATAATTACAGATTAAAAATATGCTATTTAAAAAAGAAAAATTTAATTATATGAAATTCCGAAATGTGTAGTATTCATTACTTGCAAAAAATGGTATTCATTTGTCTTGATAGTGCTGATATACTTCACTAGCATATAATCCATACTTACAAATTCTTCAAAACTGAAATTTAGAAAAATCGTTGAAATACTGGATGTGAATACGATGTGCCAATATAAAAAAAAAAATATCTATCCATACTGCCTCAAGTTTAAAGAAATGTAGTCAACAATAAATGACAGCTTTTAATGCTTCTCTTAATAGTCAGCATTTTAAATTTAGCAGTTTAAAAATCCATCCAATTATTAAATGTAAGGTTTACAACTTGTCTTCTAATGGCAGTCAGAAGATATTTTAAATTATGCTTTAAGTCTTATTAGGCTCATTAACATCATCCAGCATTTATGTACGAAGTAGGTAGACGAAGAATGGCAGTATTGAGATTTTTTTATTGTGATCATGAAATACAATAGATGATAATGTCGTAAATGATAACGCTTAAAAACTGAAAATGGACACACACAGGTGAAGACTATACACAGGAAATAACAGTCGATAGACGATTTGCTCCCACGAGCAGCGGAGAAGACCAGCCGATGAGATTTGACGATGCCGTTCTTTTACCAATTGCCACCATTTCTGTGTGAATAAAAAGTTAGTTATGTGAAAGGACGTAGACATGAAGAAATAATATCAGCAGTATTCGTTTGTGTAATCATTGACGATTTAGAAGTACATGCATTGAAAGTACAATTTGGTGAAATTGCTGGAGTAAGTATAAGCTGTACAACAGTCTTACTAAAGATTCCAACCAGTAGAGATTCAATTTTTTTTTTAAATATTAACTTGGGAAATATCACAGCAGCTGCTCAGGAAATATAAAGCAATTGCTTGGTATGTAAAGTGACTGGTAAAGGCAAATTTTATCTACAAGCTGTTTATTACATGTACTTTTAAAAAACGTAAATGGTAAAACCAACGTATAACTCGAAAATGCATGCAAGGTTCTAAAGACGAATACCATAAAAATGTTGATTTGAGTAAATGGGCATGCTAATAAATTATCACTAAAGTAATAATGTAAAAACTGCCTGAAACTATCTAAAATTAATGCAATATGTACAATAAAACATGTAGAGTAAATAAATTAAATAAATACCCTTTGAGATTACCTCTGACCCATTGGCGAACGGCTTCTGTAACCTCCAGAGCCTCTGTAGTCACTTCCGCCACCATATGAGGGCCTATCATAACCGCCGCCACGGTCTCCCCCATAACGGGATCCACCACCTCTTCCTCCTCTGCTGAATCCACCTCCACCACCACCACCACTTCTAAATCCAGAATCATAACCTCCTCGGCCACCTCGCCTACCGAATCCACCATCCCTTCCTCCGCCGCCTCTTCGGAATCCTCCACCACCGCCACCTCTCCTTCCACCTCTTCCTCTGGAAATATCAACTCTTATTTCGGATCCATTGATTGAAGCTCCATTCATTTCTTTGATGGCTTCGTTAGCATCTTGATCATCCTTGAATTCAATAAAAGCAAACCCAGGAGGATTTCTAGCAACCCAAACCTTTTCCAAGTCACCAAATTTACCAAATTCTCTTTCAAGATCTTCTTTCTGGACATCTTCACTCAAACCTCCAACATAAACAGAAGTGGGTCTCATTCTATTTTTGTCTGAAAAATTATGTTTTGATAAGTTAATAAGAATAAGATTTTAATCAGCATTTAGTTAATTTAGCTCTACCTAGTTGTAACAGTTAAATAAATTTAAATTATATGCCATGCACTTTAGGATTCGGGATTTAAAATAACTGATTTGATAAGAAAACAAAAATTTCTAAGAGGTATTTTGACCATACAAGTTATTCGTAGGAGTACAACACAAAGAAAAAAATCTTTTGCCACAACTCTAAAGTATTTCCTACTTTAATTTTTCTTTCATTCAGTGTCTTTATTGGACTGCTTAAAAATAAATTTTAAAATAACATACATAAGAAACACTACTGATATAAATAAATGACTACAATTTGATAATCAATGTTCAGCAAATGAAAACTTTACCAATAATAATTAGAATTAATAACATTTTTAACTAATTACTAAAATGTAAGAACTAATTTTTTAGTACAATTATAATGAATTTTTTAGCTCCTACAACTGAGCCAAATTAATTTAAAATCAATTACACTCATTTCAACAACTAAATGAAATACAACCTATGTAAGCTTTGATTAAACATTTTATGTAGTTAACTAAGACAAATTTTACCAGAATCTCTTATTCGGTTAAGAGCAAACCAAGTAGCATCAGCCTGGAAAAAACTACAATTGCTCTTATGTTACTACTTCTATTTTTAGGTTTAAGTTCAATTTGCACTTTGCTTTAATTCTCACTAATTGAGGTTTGTATTCAATTTTCCTTGATTTCTATTATTTTCTGACAATCACAATTTTAAAATAAAGAGCAAGAAAAATCTCAGAAAAAGAATTGGATGTTTAACACTAGTCAAAATGAACACAAAGATAGCATGTTGGTAATATATAAATTATTTCTGAAAACAAGCTTGGAATTTTAAACAAAAAATTTTAAACAAATTGAAACAGCTTTCAAAAATTTTTAAACAAGCTTGATCATGCAACTTAGCTTTCCTTGAAACAAATAATGCAAGGATGAAGATTTGGAAAAAATTTCTACAAAAAACTACAATCTTTAAACACAATCAAGACAATTATTTTAATTTTGCCCATATAATAAGTTTGTTTTTGAACAGTCAAAAACTTTTCGGTTGGCTGTGTGCATACAAAAAGTTGCTAAAAAATGCATATTGCCAACTTTAAATTTTTTTTCAATATTTCGTTATTATATTAAGTTTCCTAAACACTGAAAAATACGGATGTCACAAAAAATTAAATAAAATAAAAAACAGAGCCGAATTTTCTTGAGCCGGATACAAACATTTTTCAAAATAAGTTCTTTGACAGAAACCAGTTCATACACATTTTCACTAGTTCCTTTAAATTAAGGATCTAACAAAGTGATTTGACCAAATACAGAATATTCGGCCCAAGAAAAAAATCTACTGAATAGCAATTTTTTTTTTTTAAATTAAATATTTTATATATATAAATTAGTTTAGATTTGATTACTTAAAAATAATTAAAACTTAGCTGTATAATTGATATGAAGTAAAGGGAAAAAAACTTTAACAGAAATGTTTCAGATAATAAAGATTAGATACTTAGATAATTATAAATATTTAAGATTGAAAAATTGATCACAGCTATTAAAAAAAACTTAATTTCTTAAGTTAAAATTAGAGAAATAAAAATATATTCTTTATTCTTAAAACAAAACTTTAATGCTAAAAATATTTTCAGGACACTTAAGAGATGTGTATCAGAGACGCCCTTAAAAATACAGTGCTATCAAAAACTCCGATTAAAAACATTTTTAAAAAAAAGTGTACAAAAGCGAAAATAGCTTTAATTTTTTAAATTTTGCTTTTCATTTGTCTTTCAGAACATAAATTAACAAGTTTCAGTCGGTACAAACAAATATGTGAAAAAACTTTCTAATAATGTATAGCAAAAATTACGATTGTAGATTATTCTTCATTAAATCTATTTAAAGTTTCCACAAAAAAAAAAAAAAAAAAAAAAAAAAAAAAANAAAAAAAAAAAAAAAAAAAAAAACTGTCGAAAAATACTTTTCCAAATACTTGCTGAATATTAAGCCAATTATTTGGTAAAAGGGCTAAATATTCGTTCTATCCCTAGTTTAGTTTATATATCTATTAAATATTTTTAAAAATAAAGTGGATTTCAATAAAAAGAACTCGAAAATGGAGTACAATATAATACACAAGTGATAAATTAAGCAATACTGTAATAAAAACATAGAGCAAATAAGGAAACAAAAAAAAAACAGCACTATTCTCTTGATCACTTGCACGACTTGGGGACCAAACAGTTATTTCATGATGGTCCGAGTCTAATTTAATAGTCCCAGACTATAATTTTGAGCCTGAACTTAAATCCTTCATCATAACATTTTAACAAATACTATTCATGCATTTAACTACAAAGATATTTAAATAAATAAATTTAACTTTTCTCATAAATTTTTTTAAAACTGAACAGATGTTGCTACATTTGTTATTTAACTTTGTTCAAGTTCAATACTATTGGTTGCCCAAATTAAAATGAGTTGACAATGTAAAAGTTGGCAATTAAATAATTACTTTTGAAAAACATAACGTAACACAGTAGTAACAAACTTGTTGAAAACAATCAGTGAACTTTATTAATTCTAAGCAAAAATCATTAGAAATGTTGAAATAAATTGAAAATAAAACATTAAGGAAGGATTCTGTAATGGTATTTCAACCAAAAATAATCACCACTTTTAAAAGTTGTTGGCAACAACCCAACAGCAGTAACACTAGAAACTAAAAAAATACATTGTAAAAACAAGGATACTCAAATGCTTAATTTAGCAGAAATTTCTCAGCAAGTCATAACCACTACATCTCAATATTTAACAGAACTATTTAACTTAGTACCTTTGCAATTTCAAACAGCACAAACTTGTACAGATATAGAAATATTCCTAGATATTACATAAAAATTAGAATTAGATCAATTTAAAAACAAATTAAGTTGAATTACAAAATATTTATCTCAATTATGTAATACATTGCAATGCATAGGGAACTCTTAAAATCCACAGCTATTACTTTTATTATTTAACTCTAAAAAATTTTGTTTACTTGATCAAAATTACTTAACCTAAAAACCATTTGGAGTCTCTGCGAAGGTAGTAGGCTCGAACTATAGAACTAAGAAAGTGGGGGAGAGAACAACCCAGCTAAGCCCTGGACAATATCAAGTCACAACTTCAGCCTAAACATTGAGGTTTACTTCTACTAATTTCACTGCTCTTACTTAGCAATCACCTGACAACTAAATGTCTTTAATTAAGATACAATACAAAAGTGCTTTACATTTGGCTGCAATGAGAAGTTTCCTAGGGGTAGTCCTATAACATTTCCCAGGTAAGTGTGACCTTTAAATTTAAAATTAAGTTAAAAATTCCTCAACACTCATCCATAGTGTGATTTGCACATTTCATTTGCTTTTATATTGAATAACTCACCTGATTGAATTTGTTTTTGCAATAACATTAATTTTGAATGTTTCTTAAAAGAAACTTCTGAATTCTCTCAAGGAATGAAAGAAAGGGTAGGGAGTTGATTCTCAAAAAAGAGTACTTTGAGTTTTGAAAGGGCACTCACTCACTTTGAGTTCTGTAAAAATGTATGAAAATGCATAATATGTAATGAATTTGATTCTTAAAAATTTTTAAATTACTCTTTTAAATACTATTTTATGTGTATATTTTTAAAAATGCTCTCATCAAAAATTTGTAGCTTTAAACTAAAAAAAAATAATAATTGAAAAACAATGTGAAAACTTTTTTCTATAATTAAAACTGAGAATTATTAGAAAATAAACAATTAAAATGTCTTTTTTTTTAAAAAAAAAAAGATATTTAGAAAATGATTTTATAATTTAAAATCATTAAAATCTCATCTCCCCGAATTAAGAGATTGTAAGAAAGTAAATACTTATAATAGCAATCTGAAATAAACCTATAAACACAGATAATTTTACCCCTAAGTAATTATTGAAACAGAGAATTAATTTTCTTTAAAATGGAATATGAATAAAAAGAATGTTTTTATGGGATGGTGATTTATTTTTACAAAAAGGACAAAGAAGGCTCATTTATCAGGATCAAAGGGAAGACAAGGTGAACCTTCCTTCTAAAAACACTTAGGGAGAACACTGAGACTTACAATGTTAAAGTATTTTTTAATATTTATTTTTATTTTTAAAAATACCTAACAAAGCTTTTGGTTGTTCATACATTCTATCACAGTAAAAACAATTCAGGAATTTCTTATGTTTTAATTTTGTATTAGTTCTCTTAAAAAGTCATTCAAAATTCTATAATATCTGAAGATTATATATTGAATTGCTTATTTTAATTACTAAGACCTGCCTTCTAAGATGTTTGCTAGACATATACTTGAATAAAAATATAGTAGTATAAGTTTAAAATTTTTTTATAAGTTTCCTTTTTTTTTTATTGTTTCAGCTAGTTTCAATTTCTAAAGATTTCCTTCAAATAACAAGTGCATTTCAATTTAATTTTGATTGTCATCGATGTAACTGGAAATAATTTTTGCATAGCCTTACAGTAGAGAGTATTTTAAAAATAATTTATCAGTTCTTATCTCACTTTTAAATTTTTCACCATTCACCGTAACATTTTAATTGAGATAAGTTTTTAATCAATATTCAGACAAAATTTCAAGCATTACTTTTAAACAAGGATGATCACCATAAAGTGATCTGCATAAGAATAATCAAGCCTCGCAGTTTCAGAGCTGCGGCCTCAATTAAACCAAGGAGAGAAATAAATCACAGAAAGGAACCAACTCTGATATAATTTGTAATCACCACCAGGAAAATCTGTACATGTGATTCGTTTTTTCTTAAAAAAAATTGATTATTTAAAATCTGTCACCTTGGTGATTGTAGTTGGTACGACAGATCATGATACAGAAATATCCCTTTTAACCGCCTAACGCCTTTTACAAAATGCTTAAAGTAAATATTCAACAATAAAATTATAAAAATAATTCCATTATTTAAATAAACATAATTTTAAATATTGCAATAAAAATTTATCCTAAAATATGATTTATAGCTAGTTTGTTCAATTAAAGCTTTTATTCAAAACAATTTTTCTTAAAATGTAATGCTACATTTTCTTGGAGAAAATATATAATAATGATAAAAGTGTCACAAATCTATGAATCGCAATATCAAAGCTTTCATCTTTTGAATATAAAAACTGAATACAATTTTTTCTTTCTAAGTTAATTTTAAAACGTTGAACTTCTGTCAGACATCTTTTGTCCATGAAGTAAATACAAAAATATAGATATGGTTTTTTTTTTTAGAGAGAGAAGAAAAAAAGGAAAAATTGTTTACAAATTTTACATTCTTTTAACTTAAAGTTTTAACTTTCTGTGATAAAATTAAATGCTTAATTTGTCTGATGAAAAAAAAAACTTATCTGTAACAATTTATTTAAGATAATTCCATTATTTTTAAAAGTCACTTTAAATTACTAAACATAGAAAATAAAATCTTTGAAACAGAAACATTTTCAAAATTATTCTCTGAAGTATGAATTATTCAAATATAAGGGATATCAAATTTGATTCCTTATAAAACAAAGTAGAAAAAAATTTTAAAATCATGAATAAAATTAAAATAGTAATTTGAAAAAAACAGATACTTAAATTTTACAGTATACTTTACGAATGCTAGTTACCCTAGCATTCTTTCAATCTTGAGCATTCATTCAATCTTGAAACAAAAATAATATGACACACATCACTAAATAATTCGTTTTTTAAATACTTAAAAAAAATTATTTTACTAAAAATAGGGGCCTGATAAATATTCTGTAAATTGTCAAAGTGAACATAAAATTAAATTCTTTAATGACAATCTGGAAGTTATTTTCATAAGTTTCAAAATTTTGCCGAAAGGTTAAAAAGATTTTGGCGAAAGGTTAAATTAGAGAAAAAATAACAGAAGTGCAACATTCTAAAAGTCACGTACATTTTTCAATAAGACGTTCTAAGTAAGATTTACTAAATACCGCAAGGCAAAGAACAAATCAAAGTTATTATATCAAAGAAATTATAAGCTTGATTATAGTAAAGGATGCATAAAAGTAGTAATAATTATAAGATAAATTACTTACAGCGGTAGCAAATAGGTGAAAACAGCCAAATTGAATATATAAATAATAAAATTAACAACTGCCGGGAAGATTACGACTGAATGAAAAGAAAATGGCTCGAATACGAACTAATAATATTGCAGCTACAGTTAATTCAATTTCAGAACAAGACGGGAATCAGTTATGTCTCGGTAGCCGAGAGTAAAATGGACATGCATCAACGACAAGGAGCTCAAACCTCGCAGACTTCGAACGAGCTAGGAAGAGAAAATGACGTCACTTTGACGTCACGTTTCTACTCCTAGGGAAAACCTGAAACCTCGCGCTTTCGAACGGATTTTGCTAACGGGCTGCGATCTTCATTTTTCCTCCCTTCTATCGGAAAGCTTTCACCTAACAATTTGCTGGTGATAGCGATTCGAACGTTCGAATAGGATGCGTTTAACGCTGGGATTAAATTAGATTTCCGATTTCAAAGATAATTTTTACCCAGATGTTTTATGATTTTTTATAATCATTTACCTA